CAACTTAATACGATGATATGATAACAAACCGGATATATACAGGATGTTACAGGAAGTATTTGAATACCTCCTGCAGAATATGCATGAAATGACTTAAAATGAGTTGGAAAGCCTTAATCACTTAATGGAATCTTGAGCAATGATTATTGATGATTAATTATTGTATAAACAGATTGTGATTATGCTGTTTGTGGGCATTGAGCTAGTGTGAGCTTGTCTTGGATAGTTAGCTTGCGAGGTAAGCTTTCGTGTCCACAGTTTAGCCATTGTTGGTTCCACCTAGACGGTAAGCCTGTGTATGTATGAGACATGTCATAGGGTGATTCTGTGGGTGGGTACAATTAGTGACTTGCACACAATGTAGGTAATAGACGTATGTAAACCCTGCATTCATCTGGCCAGTAGAATAGTTGACACACATGACATTATTATTGTGTTGTATTGCACTGATTTTGGAACTTTTACTGTTTTATGGTTTTAGAACTTATATTCCACATGTAAGTGAGCTTGTGGTCGAAAAATCCTTGAGGACCCCTTGTCTTACTGAGATTTCTTTTTAGAGATCTCACCCCACGTTTGGGGCACCATTTTCAGTTTCAGGTAACTCGGGAGTTGATACCTCAGGCGGCAGAAGGCCGGAGCTTAGTTGACTGTTGCTTATATGCTTATGCTGATGTGATTGACTGCTGCTTATGTTTCTAGTTTCTATCTTGTTATATGAGTTGAGACTATGTTGGGTTGTGTTGCCTTATTTGGTGAGCATGGGGGTTGTCCATGCCACATTGATTGGACTTGTTGATTTAGATTTGAGTTGTTTAATGGATCAGGATATTGTCTGAACTACGTGTTGTAGATCCGTGACTTAGATACTCGCTTATTTATATTATGAGGTTATTTATTGTAGATAGCTGTCTATTTGCAATTACATACAGGCGATATTTTGAAAATGGTTAAGTAATCAACTTGGTAATTGATAATGACGTCATAATTGAAAAGGAAAAATTATTTCGCAATTTTTAATTAAGCGCGATTTAATATGATGACATGATAACAAATCGGGTATACATGAGGTGTTACATTTTATGGTATCAGAGCACTTTCTACGGAAAAGCCTGTATGTATTGCAATAACTAGGAAGCTTTGTTGTGTGTCTTGTCTTGTGTGTTTTCTCGATTGGGTTTTACTATGATATGCATGCGTGACCACATCGTATGGGCCTGATCACCTCATTCCTTGTGTAACTTGTGCAGAGTCATGGTACTACCTAGGAGGAACTGGGAGACGAACGAGGGTCGACTAGACCCGATCTTGACTGCATTAGCAGAGATGTAGGCGGCTAGACTAGCCGATCAGAAGGCCGCTAGATTGGCCAACCTGGCGAATTCTACAACCATCAAATTCTACAACCATCTTCATTGATAGCTCATTAATCTTTATTTGTTGCTCATTCACCTTAACTTGCAATTGAACATTCAGCTTCATGTCCACATAATTCAACTTGAATTCCATTTCAGTTACATTCAACTCCAGCTTGTTAATTGTTCAATCTTCTAGCCTCATCATATCATTAGTAGCATCATCCACCCATCTAAAAATATCACAGTATAGCTTCTTCTCCTACCAGCAAATGAAACCAAACTCAGAATAAAATTCAACTTAAATAAAAACAAATTAAAAAAATTGAAAACTAGATAATGTGTATAGTTGTCTATAAATTGCTCACCTTGAAATTGGGGCACCCAAAGAATTCTCTGTTTGGGTTTCTCTGAGTTTTGGAAGTGTATACAACACTTGGCCTCCTGCATTTACACCTTGGAGCATCATTCCTTCTTTGGCTTCTAACCCCAATTGAACTGCTTCCACTTGACCCGCCATCCGAGAAGAAACATTCATCTTCTCACCTTAAATTACAAAGTATAGACAACGATACCTAAACCCTAAATTACAAAATACTGACAACGATACCTAAAACCTAAACATTCTTCTTCTCTCCCTTTTACAAATTACAGACAACGATTCTTTCCATATTAAGGTTGTTCTCGATTAAGGAAGGCGACAAGGTTTCTCACGACGTCGTTTTATTCCTCCTACGTAGAATGTGACTCAGAGAGATAACGTTACACGTGAGCAACGTTACTAATGGCGTTCGAGCTTCACTGACAGAAGGACTAGTGTGGATTTATTTTGAATTTAATTGGGACCATAAATTGACTTTTTTTTACTCAGGGATTAAAATCTGCCCCACATATTTTGTTGAGGACCCAAAAGGATATTTACTCTTTTCCATAAGTATCATAATTTTCACATCAATTATCCAACATTTATCAAAGGTAAGATTCATATCACATATAATCAATTATCCAAATCTATCAGAGGTGAGATTTATACCACACATAATTCATTATCCAACATATATCAGAAGTAAGATTCATATCACACATAATTAATCAACCTTTTGATAAACCCATAGTTTATCATGTTTTAAGAGCTAAAATCACTTTCATATTTAGTCAAAAGCATAAAATCTTTAGGGTTAATTAGCTAAAAAGCATGGAGATTGAATTTTTGACTCGTGAATGATTCTTACTTGTTTTGTAGGATAACTGAGTTGAATTGGAGCATTGGATCCATGGTTAAGCTAGAAAGGCTTCAAGCGATAAATGAGAAGCAACCATTTAATGAAAAACTCCTTGAAGCTATCTTTTGGCAAAAGTTTCGTATCCAAGATGATGAATTTGGATATTCTGTTTTTCATAGAAGTTGTATATATCTCTTTTATCTTTCCAACGAGACCAAGATCAAACAAAATGGACGAGTATAGCTCAAGTTATGCCCAAAATACGAAATCATATTTTTGTTGTCAAAATAAAGTGTTTGCGTGTTTTAAAGCCCGGTTGTGACCTAATTAAGGCCCATTACGTGGTTTTCACTTAAAACAAGATTAATACACCTATTTAAGTTATTATTCACAAGGCTTGACTAGAACTTGACACCGGGGCAAAGTTTTCATCGAAGGAGCGAGTCTTTCATGCTTTTGAGAGCCGAAGACGGGTTGGAGTTGAGATTGCGCTGGAAACCTTGAAGATTCTCCATGCCATCACATCAATGGAGTTTGGGGAAGCTTTCTTGTTTTCTTGTGTTCTTGAATTCATCATGCTAGGCTAGATTTTCTTTGTAGTTAGGGTTAAATGGAACCCAATTGAATCTTTATATTTCTGAGTAAATCTTTAATATAATTTTCCCTTTTTATATTGAATGAATGTGTCTTTGCTTAATGCCTTCCATGAGTTGTTCTTGTAGATTGAATTATGATTTGTATATGACAATAGAGATATTGGTATATGAATTTGGTTTGACTCATTCATCATTAATTTGTATGACTCTAGGAATAGACATATGAATTGTGCCATTTTTATGATTGTTGATTTTAATGCTTAAATCCTTTTGAGAAACACCAAGGAATTAAGATTCTTTTAAGGGAATAAAGGATTAGAATGTCAAGGGATTGCGTTTTAACTAATTTAGGGAAATTGATGGGCAATATAAAAAGGAAGATTAATTAAGGTTTTAATTCATAACATAAAGGGAAAATTGTGGAAAATCGAATCCCTCACTACTTTATTGACAAGTAATCCAAATTTTACCTTATTGCTTTGTTATTTAGTTTGGTTTTCATACAATATTCATAATTAAATTTCATTCAACTATCTTAATTGATTGTCCAACTTAAGCGTAAATAGCGAATTAGTGATTGAAGTTCTAATCCTCGTGGGAACGATCTCGTACTCAGCACACTTTATTACTTTTACGACCGGTGCACTTATTAAAGTCGCAACACCCTTCAACCTACTATCATTAAGGAATTATGATTATACCAAAGAAAACTCATATATAATTGACTTGTAATTTTCTAAATATTAAGATTAAACCCAACAAAGTTCCCAACAATATTGATGAATAATTAACCTATGATTTTATAAAGATTAAGATTACACCCAATAAATTCCCAACACAATTCATAAAAAAAAAAGCTACAATTCTCTGGGGATTAATATTTCACTTAATTACTTAGTAGAGCATCTAACTAAGAGTTGTTATCCAATAGACAAGAGTGGTAACAATTATAACACTCTTTATTGTTGGGGATCATGCATGTAGTTCCGCACTGTTAAATTTTAAAGTGGCATAACTGTTTTAAGAGAGAAAGGCTGAACAGAGTATATCAAAGAATCCGTAGTTGCTAGCATTTATCATTGTAAACTTTAAAAATTAAATTCAAAAGCTTTAAGAAACAAATCTGACATCCCGACCCAAATGGAAAGGTGATTGGCCACAAAAGGAAAAACGAAAGAACGTTGAATATAAAACAAAAGGCCTCATTGTTCACGTTTCTTTTTACCAAAACAGAAGCAGCTGTTCAAAAGAACAGAGAATAAATCTTTGGTACTGCTGCTGTACCAAAGATTTAGTGCATCCCACCAATACAAATATTATATGTCAGTTAAATTTTTTCTCTCTCTTTCAAATTTTTTTTCTCTCTTCTGATATGTACTGCTCTCATTGATGAGATGCACTGAATCTTGGTACAACAGTAGTACCAAAGATTTATTCAATAACATAACAACAGCGTGTGAAGTAAGCATATTTTTCCGAGGCACGCTATTAAAGTGCCGACACATTGAATCCTGAACCTTCAATAGTCAATCCTCACTTAGATTTTTTGGTAAGACAACACAACATTCTGGAACATATAAAATCGACAATCTTCTATAACCCTCTGACACCACTTTACCTGCTTAGTACCGACTTAAATCAATTCCAAACAAAATCTGTTCTGCATGTTAGTTATTCTTAGTTCTTGCATCCTCCAACAAATACTAATTCGAGAAAAATTTAAAACAAAAAATCGATAGACTAATTAGTAAATACAAAATCTCCAATGCCTCACGTTGGAGAATCTATATTCTGCAACACTTTAGTTTCAAGATTCACAAGGTCAATGATCAAGTACATAGAAGAAAAAAAATCAAGTCAGAATTTTCTTGTCTGTTACCTATGCTCCTCTATCATGGTTATGTGTACAATCTGGAATGCATGAGCTCCGATTCCTTATGATCGGCCACCATGTAAGTACATAGAAGGTAAAACCAACAATCAATGCAAAAAGTAGAGGAAATTTGACTGCAATATACATGCTAAACTTGTTAGCTCAACAAGTTACGGAAGAGAACTTCGTCCACTTTGTGGACCACCTTACATGGTTCGCATAATCATTGGGCTTTGTTTTCACTCACTCAGTAGATTTTACTGTAACATCTCGGGCATCCAGGAGTGATTGTTATGTAAACATTTTTGTCAATTATTCTCTCCATCTCTTCATGCCCTATCTTTAAGATTTGCTAATCTGTCACCAATCCAACGAATAAATAAGAAAAAGAGACCAATTCTCTTCTCAGGGAACAGCAGTTAGACACAATGAAAAAAATATACCACTCCCTATTAAACCCCAACTAATGAGAGTGGGATAAAAACAATCTTTGTACTCAGCCTTAACCTTGCATATTTGCAAAGAGACTATTTCTCAGATTAGAACCAGCTATCTTTCAGCTATAAAAGAACACTTTTACCACTCCTCTAGGCTCGTTCTCTTTTAGACAACGAAAAAAGATAATTAATTCGAAAATAGTATAAACGTGAAAATTTGATAAACCAATTTCTACAAGAAATAAAATAACCATAAAATAATGAAATACCTTTGAAACTTAAGTTCCCTGTAGATGAGCATTATGCCGAGTAAAATTGGGATCAGTGCTAAGCATAAGTGTTCCAAAGAGTGCCCACTGATAACGTAGTTATTTAAACGGTACAGTTTCCTGTCAGCAACAGCTTCAAATTTTGCTAGCAGGTATATCCCTGTGCCAAAAAAAATCAAAGCATATCCATAACTTAAGAGTATATGGCTATTTCTTAACAACCAGAAGAATATCCTAAACTCATCGTGTTAGAAGGTGCTTTAGTTTCCTCAAAATGTACAGCATCAGTGGACAGCTCAGGGGCAATGGTTCATGAGCTAACATCTTTATATGGGGGAAAAAAAATGAAGATAGAAAATAGTAGGAAGTATTTATATTAAAAAAAAATATACCTATGCAACCTGATGAAGGGGAGACTTGACACAACGGTAGGTGTTTTCGTCATGCGATCCGGAGGCCGCAGGTTCGAATCATGTAGATCAGCCTCTTGCAAATGCAAGGTAAGGCTGCCTATTATAGACCCACATAATGGGTCTTACCCTTCCCTGAACCTTGCGCATAGGGGAGCTTTATAGAACCAAGTTGCCCTTTTTATACATATGGTAGCTGAAGTGAAAGGAAAACAAAAGGAAGAAAAGAGTTGTTCTTAAGTTAAGACATTAAGGTACAAGTCTTGAGTAGTGAACTTTGCCAATGTAATCAATGAAATCATTGAAACTAAAGAATTTTGTATTTCTTTGTATTGATTTGAATAAATTACATAAGGAGTATTTATACAAGAAAGAATCGCTAAGAATGACTCAGCGATGACTAATCAATCAATCATAATCAATCCTAATTAATAGGAAATAAAAAATGAAAATATTTGAATCCTGATTTCCTACACTCCCCCTCAAGTTGGGAGGTAAATGTTGATCATTCCCAACTTGCCAATCAAGTCTTCGAATGCTAGACGTTGTAGGCCCTTTGTAAGGATATCTGCAGTCTGCTCTTTGGTAGGAACATACATCACACGCACACTTCCATCATCTAGTTTTTCTTTGATGAAGTGGCGATCAACTTCCACGTGCTTTGTTCGATCATGATGCACAAGATTTTGAGCAATGCTGACAGCTGCCTTGTTGTCACAATATAGTTTTATTGGTAGGGAATATGAAATCTTCAACTCTTGAAGAAGTCTTCTCAACCAGATTCCTTCACAAACTCCATGAGCTAAAGCTAGAAATTCTACTTCAGCACTACTTCTTGCAACCACTGTTTGCTTTTTGCTTCTCCAAGTAACAAGATTTCCCCACACATAGGTGCAATAGTCTGAGGTAGATCTCCTGTTTACTGATGAGCCTGCCCAATCTGCATCAGTGTAGATTTCAATCGTCCTTTTATACCCCTTTTTAAAGAATAATCCTTTTCCTGGAGTGTTCTTGAGGTATCTGAGCACCCTATAGTAAGATGTTTCCCCTTGGGTGAGTGCATGAATTGACTAATCATACTCACCGCAAAGGCAATGTCAGGACACGTGTGAGATAAGTAAATTAGTTTGCCAACCAATCTCTGATATTGTTCTTTATCCACCTCATTCCCATCTTCAATACCTAACTTGATATTAGGTTCCACAGATGTCTCAGCAGGCTTACACCCTAACATCCTAGTTTCCACCAAAAAATCTAGAACATATTTCTTTTGTGTGAGAGTGATGCTTGTTTTTCTCCTGGCAACTCCCATACCAAAGAAATATTTGAGAGTGCCAAGATCCTTTAATTCAAACTGAGCTGTTAGATACTTCTTCAAGGAGTTCAATTCCTCAATATTGTCACCTGTAAGAACTATGTCATCTACGTACAGAATAAGAATAGAAATTTTACTATCCTTAGAGTGTTTGTGGAAGAGAGTGTGATTAGTCTGTGCTTGAATGAAGCCTCTTCTTTTGACAGCTTGTGTGAATTTGTCAAACCATTCTCTAGGAGACTGTTTCAACACATATATAGACTTTTTTAGTTTACACGCTGATCCATTTCCCTTTTCAAAACCAGGTGGAGGATCCATATAGACTTCTTCATGTAAGTCACCATTTAGGAATGCATTCTTCACATCCAACTGTTGCAGAGGCCAATCTAGGTTGGCAACAAGTGATAAGAGAACTCGGATGGTATTGACTTTAGCAACTGGAGCAAAAGTCTCATGATAATCTATCCCATGAGTCTGCGTGAACCCCTTTGCAACCAATCTTGCCTTGTATTTGATGCTATTATCTGCATTGAATTTTATTGTAAACACCCATTTGCATCCTACTGCCTGTTTTTCCTTTGGTAGGGTCACTATCTCCCAGGTTCCATTTCTTTCTAAAGCATTCATTTCATCAAAAACAGCATCCCTCCATTTTTGATCATCGAGAGCCTTATGTATATTTCTCGGTATATTTGTACTATCCAACATAGTATTGAAAGCACGGAACCCTGGGGACAACTTTTCATATGAAATATGATTAGAAATAGGATGAGTAGTACAAGATCGAGTACCTTTTCTGAGAGCAATAGGCAAGTGTAGATCATTTTTATCATGGCACTCAAGTGTTGGGGTGCTAGAACTAGAACATGGTTCAGAATCCTAGCAATGTAGAGGCTCTGGGTTATTTACACTTTGAGGAGGCTTTTGTCTGCTATAAACTTGTCCCCACTTTGAAGAGGCTCCGGATGGTGAGGATTTTGTAGCTCCCCTTGTTTCCAATAGTAGAGGTAATATTGTGGCATCAGTAGGTTCCCATGACTGATCTTCATCTGCTCCTATAGACTCTCCCTGAAGAGAAGTCAAGGGAAAGAAAGGTTGAGTCTCAGAAAAGGTGACATCCATAGAGACAAAGACCTTACGAAGAGAGGGAGAATAACACTTATAGCCACGTTGAGTAGGCGAATAACCAAAAAGACACACCGGAGAGCAATGTTGTTAAAACGTAGTTTCTACATAGAAACGGTAGGGGTGAGCAAAAACGTAAAATCGTGAAACGTAAACGAAACGTAAGAGTTTACTAATTATAATATATATATATATATATATATATATATATATATATATATATATATATATTGAATATATAAAATTAAAACACACCAATACATAAGTTATTATCTACATATTCAGTAATCATATAATATTAAAATATATATTCAGTAATATTAAAATATATTAAAATAAAACATATATATTCAGTAATCATAATATATATTAAAATATAATAACATATAATATGCATATGTTTATAATTTTTAATTATTTTTTGAATTATCTATATATTGATAGAACTCACAGTGAACTTGAAAATGAGAAAAGAATATATATACAAAATTGTCGGTGAACTTGAAAATGGGATCGGTATCTTCTCTCTCTCCACACAAATTCCATAAAAAACCAATTCCAATGCCTTCGTTGAATTTCGATGGCTGAAGAATCATCAGCATCGCTATCGCCGCAAGCTCCTCCTCCTCTGCAATACGTGGAGGTGAATTGCAAAAGCTCCGGCAAGACTTGGCGGTTCGCGATGAAAACCGAGGCAGGGTTCGCGATGGCGCTCATAAATCGGAAGCTGAAAAGAGCAGTTCTGGTTGCTTCGCACAGTGAAGGATGGTTAAGAACCAATGCTTTTGGACCCAATTCCATTCTTTCCCATTTCGGTGAAGGTTAGAAGCCCCACACTGTCACCTTCTCAGATCTCGTTTTTTTTTTTTTTGAACACTGAGTCAACTCGGTAAACTCGCCGAGTTTACCGAGTTGACTCGCCGTTTCAACTCATTTTACGTTTCAGCATCCGTTTCAACACGTTTTTTAGTCAAGAAACGTAGAATCGTACGTTTCAACCGTTTCGACACTACGTTTTAACAACACTACCGGAGAGACTTAGGATCAAGCTTAGACCGTTGATGAGAGGGAATATGGACAAATACAACACAACCAAATAGCTTGAGAGGTAGGGAGGAAACGCCTCGGAAGGAAGGGAAGGTGCGGAAAAAACTAGAAAGAGGAGACTGGAATTTGAGAATGCGAGATGGCATTCGATTGATCAGATACAAGGCAGTGAGAACGGCTTCCCCCCAAAGGTATTTAGGAACACTCATAGTGAACATAAGAGCCCGAGCAACTTCAAGGAGATGTCGGTTTTTTCTTTCCGCAACTCCGTTTTGTTGGGATGTGTCAGGACACGAGCTTTGGTGAAGGATGTCATGTTGGGAAAGATATTCTACAAGAATAGAGTTAAAATATTCTTTGCCATTATCTGTACGTAGAAATTGTATAGCAGCTTGGAATTGGATTTGAACCATGGCATGAAATTTTTTAAAAATGGATGCAGCATCTGACTTGTTCTTTAGAAGGTATACCCAACAAACTCGGGAATGGTCATCAATGAAGGTAATGAACCATCGAGCACCTAAAATATTCTTTATACGGGCTGGACCCCATATGTCACTATGAATTAAAGAAAATGAGGAAGAATCATGGTGAACTTTTGAAGGATAATGAACACGAGTATGCTTGGCAAGTTGACAAATATCACAAGAAAACAAACTAGGACTTTTATTAATAAATAAGTTTGGTAACAACTTCTGAAGATAGTTAAAATTTGAATGGCCTAGCCTACGATGCCACAACATAACATCATTACATGAATCAAAAGGAAACATAGTCTTTTTCCACAAAAACAGCTTCATGAGTCACATCCTCCTCAAAGTAGTAAAGTCCACCATCCTTTCTAGCACTGCCAATCATCCTCTCCAAGTCCTGTTCCTAAAAAACACAACCATGAGGAAATAATTTAGCAAAACAATGCAACTCAGAAGTCAGCTTGCTTATGGAAATGAGATTACAAGCCAGAGAAGGGACATAAAGAACTGATATTAAATTAATCAGCTCAGAAAGTTTAATGGTTCCGTGTCCTGCAATCTGGGAAAAACTGCCATCAGCGATCTTGACCCGAGAGGGTTCAGAGTATGGAGTGTATGAACAGAACAAGCTCGGATTACCTGTCATGGTCAGAGGCTCCAAAATCAAGGATCCAATGATTTTGACTATCAACATGGAAAGTTGTACCTTGTTAGACCACATTACTAGTGGCCTTAGGAGGTTGAGTCAAAAGTCTCTGAAGTTGTTCAAACTGAGTTTTGCTAAGAAAGACACCATCAGAGTTAGAGGATGCACAAGGCTCATCAATCTTGTCATCAGTAGAGACCTGATATGCACGACCTTTATTCTGTCCTTTTGGCTTCCAATTTGTAGGTTTCCCGTGGATTTCCTAACATTTCTCACGGGTATGACCAATTTTATTGCAGTGGGTGCACCATGGACGACCATCCCGTTTTGATTCTCTAGAGGAACGGTCAAAGGTACGTTTGGCAGCCAATGCAGACATATCATCAGACTTATCAATTGACTCATTTTCTCCCAGCATAACTCTCTGTCTACTTGCTTCTCTACGAACTTCAGCAAAGGCATTAGCAAGTGAGGGTAACGGTCGTTGCCCCAATATTCGACCACGAACCTCATCAAGATCTTGGTTGAGGCCAGCAAGGAAATCATAAAGTCGTTCCTTCTCCAAGTGTTTTTTAAACTGGGTATTCGCTTCCAATCCTTTAAGATCGGATGCATAATAAAGATCCAGTTCTTTCCATAAATTTGTTAGTGCAGTAAAATATTCAGTAATAGTCATACCCCTTTGACGAAAGTCTCTCAACTTATTTCTCAGTTCAAAGACTTGAGGGTATTCTCCAGATCTGAATAATTTTGTTGAACAGCATCCCAAATCTCCTTGGCAGTATCGAAGAACAAATAGGTTTGGCCAATATATGGTTCCCTCAAGATAACCCATCTTACCTTTTGCCCGGATCACCAACTTAACAGATTGAAATCATTGCAGAAAATTTTTACCGTTCAACCGGTGACTAGTAATCTGCATACTTAAGTTGTCTCCAGAGGACTGAGTATTGGGAACAGATGAGGAAGCAAAAGAACGCTCTGAGGAAGACATGAAGGAAGAGAGAGGATTTGACCGTGGATGAAAAAATCAAGTTTTTATTTTTTCAAATCTGACCTCTGGAACAGGAAAGGGAGACGCCGGTGAAAGGTTCTGTGCAAGTCGCGGCAGAAAAAGACGCCGGGAAGGTGGCGCGTGGAGCTCACGCGCCAGTGGCTGGCCGCGGGTGTGACGGCGGGTGGCGGCACGTGCGGTGGCTGACGGTGATGGGTCCAGTGACGTTCAACTCGTCGGAGCCTTCTAAGTCGAATGGTCACTTCACTTTCTTGATTGCAGGTCTGTAGATAAGGTTTCTGGGTATGGACAAAATTGAGGTGTTTTTGATGATGTTTGGACGGTATTTCAGCCTTGAAGATGGCTGATTTAGGGTAGGAACGAACCCGCTTTGATACCATAAAGAATTCTGTATTTCTTTGTATTGATTTGAATAAATTACATAAGGAGTATTTATACAAGAAAGAATCGCTAAGAATGACTCAGCGATGACTAATCAATCCTAATCAATCAATCATAATCAATCCTAATTAATCATAATTAATAGGAAATAAAAAATGAAAATATTTGAATCCTGATTTCCTACAGAAACCAAGGGCTTGCATAAAAGGTAGGAGTTATATCGTGTGAGTGAAACACTGGAAGTTGTCCTTCAATGTCCCTAACTGGGAAGAACAACTAATAAGCACAATCCACTCCTAAGGGCCAAGACCATAAAAGTAAGACAGGGCATTAACATGATATTGTCAAGCCCAGAAACCTATCTATAGTTAAGAAATACATCAAAAAACTAGATTCTTAATCACATTACAATATCTAAAAGTCACATCATAATTGTCAATTCAACGTCAACCCTCTCAACACGTCAGCATAATGAAAGAGTAAACGATCCTTTTAACTATTGAGTATCTTTAAGAAGATTTATAATTTCTTCTTTTTATAAGTAAGCTAAGAATATTAAACCTTGATTCTTCAGTTAAATCAAAGAGAAGACAATCTTGCCAATCTCAATCAAACCGTTCACATTAAATCCAATCACAAGTACACACCCACAGTCTCAATTCAAATTCAATTTATCCGTAGGGGCAGTTTTGGTATACCCTTAAAAAAGGGGTGAAATTTTCATGGATGATTTTTCCATATAAAACTCATTTATGAAGTTTTCACCCCCATATTTAAGGGTGTGCGTATACCAATAAACTAACCATAAAAGTAACCACTACTAAGCATCAGAACTGTAGCCAGGGTGACTAAAAAGTGAATTGAGTAATGACAGCTTCTTTCTCGTATCAAACACTCAAAAGTATGTTGTGGTAGATATTCACCCCACTTCTGTAAGTAGATAACGTATCTAAAAAGTTGCCAACAGCCAAAAGAAGATTTGGGGGGGACCTTTAATAACATTTTATTTCTATTGCCGTCTTCTATTTCTGTAGTAAACTTTATTATAGCAATGATGACAAATCCTAAGAAGGATTACATTATAAATAGATAAACACCAACTAAGCAAAGCTTTAGTTATAGTTTCTTGGAAACAAATGCTCCACATACAAATGATTTTTTAGATGTATAAGAAGCCAATTTCCCGCTGCGTTGATATGCTAGAAATGCATAATACACTGCCTTGATAAATTCATTAATTATTTGAAATCTAAAGTAAATAAAAGTTGCAAAATCCCAATGCATACCTATTGACGAAAACCAATATCTTGAGTTAGTATAGTTGGAGCGATACATAAATGCTACTACTGCAATAGCTAGAGGAAGAATCAACTGGAACATCAAGCAGAGCCGAATATCATCATAAATTCTGCAACCAACTAGCAGACAGAATTCAGCACAAAACTTGGTTACAGGTTGATGTATATGAATTCAAAGTGAGATTAAGCATGAGATTATTTAAAAAAAAAAATAAGAGAGAGAGAAAGAGAGACTAACCGTTCATAAAATACACAAATAAAGACAGCCAAAAGGAGTGCACACATACAACATAACCCAATCCACTGACCGATTCTCTCAATAACCAAACTAGAGAAAAGCGAGGAGTATGCCACCATCATCTGCCATTGACAAAACCAATGGGCTTCTTAATGGAAAAAAGGGAGGAAAATTATAAGTCCCTTTTTGATTTCCAACTAGCAAGAGAAGTGTTTTGCATAGTCAGGTTTGCTAGTTTTAATTAAAAAACTGAGAAAATGCCTTCCACTTACTATAATATTTTTTTTCTTTTTGAAATTGCTCACGTGTATCATAAACTAAACAAATAGAGCAAATAGAGAATGGAAAAGGAAAACAGCTCAAGAATCACAATACTAATAACACATTCACATAGACATGAATGTAATACTAACCGGTAAAGTGTCCCACAACACACGATTGTTATCAGGCTTCAAATGGTAATAAGTAGAACCAAAAGCCACCCCTGCAACTCCAGCGTAGAATAGTACCCAAGCCCATACCTCTGCTTGAGAACTAGGAACAAAAACAACAAATTCCAAAGCACAAACAAACGAAGCCCGTTTTAACATTTGAAAAAAAAAAAATACTAATAAAAATAATAATAACTAGTGTTAGAATTAATCATGTGAAACATAGTAAATTTTGTCAGAGGAAGGGTCATAGGAATCATCAAAAGTAACCTTATGTTGAAAACACCTCCTTCCAGAGCGAGAACTAAGCCGATAACACCCACAACCAAAAATGGGAAATTTGTTATCACATTTAACGTGTTGGGCACTCCTGTACAAGACCCAGAAACCCAAATCATCCAAACCAACTTACCCCGAAAGAGAAAGGACAAACTTTATTTTTTTCAAAAAAAACAAATGAAAATTGAAAATTGAAAATTTCACAGTGTGTGTATGGTTACCGAGAAGATTGCGCAAGTCAGCGAATCGGTGGTGGTTGGGAGAGCGTGGGATTGGGGAAGTGAAGAGAAAGAAGCAGATACAGCAGAGAAATGCTGTTCCTAATACACGAGTTCTCTTCCATCTTCTCAATAGTTGTTGGTTTCCCATTGCCACCCAAGTCCAACCCATCACTTCTCACTCACTGTGTTTTGGCTGCTTCATTAAAAAACACACCTTTCAATATATAAGAAGTGCTGAATCACGAGGGTCGTCCTGCTTGATTTGGCTTGTGTAGTGCACCAAATAAGACCGGTAGGAGAGTATAGTTTATGGCTCTTTGACTAAGGGTTCTTTTACCTGTCTAATTTTATTCCAGGATATTCTAATTACTAAAATTTTTTAGTACCAATTTATTATCTATTTAATTATTATTAGATTAATATTTTTTCTTTCTTCAAATTTTTTTTAATATTTTCTCTCTTTGATCCAATGGTGATGTTTGTGTTTATTAACGGGGTTCTTTAAGGGGCGTTTGATACAGGAGAAATTTTTTTTTATCCGGGAAATAATTATTACCGGAATGTATTGAGAAATATATTTTACTGTTACTAAAAAACTGTTTGGTAGACCCAAATTTTCCCGAAAAAGTTAATTTAATTTTACTGAGTTTGTGTTTGGTTGGTTATGATATATTAGTGGGAATGAGAATGTGAGGTTGTTTTACAAAAATAACCCCACCTTTATCTTTTGATTCAACTAGGGAGGATGCATGGTACCTTTACCTTTTGCTCTGACACACTTCTTTAAACATCATACAAATTGCAGGACAAATTTGTCCAGATTTTTGCACTTTCATTTTGGTTTCCTTAGGAGTCAAAAATTTCACACTTTTATTGGATATCTCATTTGTCAGTTCCTATTAAAATTTTCACGTAAAAGCATTTTACCGGAAACAAGTTTCGATGGGGAAGTCTTGCGATCTGAGCTACCAAACATTGGAAAATATATTCCCTTATCATACTTTCCCGTCAATTCAGAAATATAACGCGTACCAAACGCACCCTTAGTGACGTAGGGGATCCAATGGCACTAAGTGTTGCGATTCTCTTGGGGCACTCTCGGTTTTTATTTTGTTCAGGTGAGTGTTACAACCCCCGGCCCCCTTCCCCTGGAAAACTGGCACGGGTGTGCCAAGTGGCACAATCCCATTACCCTATACAGTCTCCTTATCATAAAATTTTGGAAGGCCATAACTTTTGACTCAGTAATCCAAATCAAATGATTTTTTTTTATTTCACATAATATTTTGAGATCAACGTAATGACATCTCATTTGACATATTTTTCTCTCTCATAAACATAGTTCGAATTTGTAACAATGGTACCACAATCACAAGAGTTTTAAATCCATAAGCATATCTTTTTTTTTTGGAAATATTTCGTCGGTTCCTCGCTTCGCGATTAGTCCGATTCGGGGCGGGTCCAGGATTAAGACTTTAAACCCCTCCCAAAGGTGGTACTGGGAAGATTCGAACACATGCCCTCACCCCCATCCATAAGCATATCTTAGGATAATGACATGTGTTGTTTGCCAAATTTTGGCTGAAAGAGGTAGAAACCCTTGATTTTTTTAGCTTTCTTGATTTTCAAATCAATTTTGTTGATATTTTAATTAATTGAATTTTTGTCTGTTAGAGTTGCAACAGCACTTATGCGAGACAATAGTTAATTTCAAAATTTGTTTTTGTGAAGAAAAGAAAACGAAGAAAAAATGGGAGCAAAAATGAAGAACCCTAGCAGTAGGGAAAGAAGGAACAAAGCAGGGATAGACGATAGTTTCAAAAGCATCAAGCATGGCCAGCATGTTATTGTCTATCCCTGCTCTGTGGATTCTCCATTTTTGGTCATACTTTTTTTTCGTAGTCTTTTTCTTGTGATTGTGGTACCATTGTTATAAATTAAAACTATGTTTGTGAGAGATAAAATATGTCAGATGATGTGTCATTGCGTAGATCTCAAATAGTTATGTGAAATCAAAAAAAATCATCTGATTTGGATTCCAGGGTAATGATAACGGAAGGTTTATGATAACGGAACTGCCTAGGGTAATGGGATTGTACCACTTGGCACACCCATATGAGTTCCCCAGAGGGGGTCGCGACACTCATCTGGAGAGAAAAGGTGAGTACCCCAATGGGGGTCGCGGCACTCAGTGCCGCTGCCCTCCCCCTGCACTAAACGACCCCATTGGTAAATACCGTAAATCAAATACCAAATTGGTACATTAAAATGTCAAAGACCCTACTTTGGACAAAGAGCCACAGTTTATTGTGTTATATCCTTATTATATGTTTGGTGACCCTAAGGGATAGGATAACCTTAGCAAATTCACTCATTTTATCCTATTGAGAACCAAGCTATCTTGAAGGGAACCATAGGTTACAAATTACAATTGTACCGGATAAGATAAGAAAAACTATATTCTTTTATTTAAGAAATCCCTCTTTTCTCTTCTACCTTGGTCAACTCCCAGTCTAACCTTGTCACCGCATAGTCCCAATCACCATTGATGAGTTCTGCCACCAATTAGCCCCGACCACGGGAACCTCGTCGATGTCAGAAACATCTTTGGAAAATGGCACCATTTCACACTCATGACGTCAACGATGAAATGAGGAGGGAGATCGAAGGGCATTCAAACCTTGAAGCTTTCCCTCATCATGACTTTCTTCTCTTACGTTGCTTGGCTTTACGTCGTCGGCAAGTTTCTCTCTTTCTTTCTCCTCATTTTTCAGTTTCATTTTCACTTTTTAAATTGATTCTGCAAATTGCATTTGGATCTAATTCTTCTTAATTTCTACTATTCATTTTGAACTCCTAATTGGAAACATTAACGGATTTGGTCTTTTCTTTTTTTGGGAGTGGTTAGGTTATGGCATGATGCAAAAAACTGAAATTTTCTTACTAGTCTTTTGAAGAAAAATTCAGCTCAGGATTTTTTTTTAAAAAAAAAAAACAAAGTCCTTTCTTTTCTTTCATTTTTAGCTTCTGATTTGTTGCTACATGGTAGAATAGTTATGATTTATGAATGAAAGTTGTACATGGCAATTTTGTTTGCTACTTCTGAAATTCAGCTATTGTATATATGAACTTATATTATTACTTTTTTTTGTTCCTAGAGGCCCAAGGTTCTTACGGTGGAAGATAAGCTAACGGTTTTAGGGTGAAGGTATATTCTTCCCTTTTATGTTCTTTTATTGTTTTTTGGTTTGTTTTTGTGTGTGTATATATATATATATATATATATATATATATATATATATATATATATATATATATATATTGGGTTGATTTGTGTTGTTTGTTTGTAATGATATTGTTTTGTATCAAATTTATGTATATGTTGTTATTTTACGGATATGGAGAGGAGGATTGTGGAACCTGAGATGGAATTGACATTAGCCAATATAGCCAAGGGTATTTTTAAATTAAAAAACTAATATTTTGTTATAAAGGGTATTTTGATCTATTTATTTCATATACTTACATTATTTGGTCACCTCGCACATATGATAGGATAACATAATTCTATCATATTGCTAATCTAATGCACATCAAACTATAAAACAAGAATGACTTTACACCACACGATAGGGGGTGAATTGTGGTTACTTCTTTAACAAGAAACTTAATTTCTCAAACCCCTTTAACAAGAAAACTTAAGAAAATGATCAAGAACAATAGCTAAACCATCTCTAACCCAAAAACAAATTCAAATCAGAGTTACAAACGCAGTAAACAATGAATCAAAAGCGAAATCAAAAAAGATAAGGGTTTAGAACATCAAACATTAAGATTTATCCCGATTCACCCTCAAACCACTAGAGGGATATGTAAGAACTCGCACCGTTAATTAAGGAAATTAATTACTTAAATATGAGATTAGGAAATAATTCCATAATTGACCCTAATAATTATTATGAGGCTCTAATAATTATAGTAAGTGATTAAGAATGCTGAAAGTCATTTTTCGGAAGAAAAGTGCAGATACCGGTTTCGCTAGTCGGTATAAATGCGTACCGATAAAGTATCCCAGAAAATTATAATAAGTGCATGATAATTCCTAGAATAATATATAGGACTTGTAAAACAAGTTTCAAGTTAAAATAATGAGAATTGGTGCCAGAAACTGATACTGGCTACGAAAAGAGCGTGTATCGGAAAGGTGCTCCGAAAAATATAAGAAAAATATGATAATTCTTGTAAAATTGAGTAGGTTAAGAATCCTAAGTTTGGGATTAAAATGATAAGCGTAGCAATAAAGTTAATATTGTGTGTTAAATGCTTAAGTGACTATATATAGACTTATTAAGGCACAAAACCCTAGACACTCAGATTTCCTACGTGACTTGTTGAGGGTGGCCGACCAGAATACTGTTCCATTGGTCTTCTCCCCCATTTCTTGAGCCAAGTTGTCACCTTTGCTCTATCTCTTCATCTCTAAACACCATTACCATGGGTGGGTTGGTCTTGTGAGGTTGTGAGTGTCTCCATTGCTGAGTTGTAGCCCCTGGTTGAGGGTGAGGAGGTGCTGACTTTGAGAGTTGGCTTGTGGGAGCTTGGGGTTGGTATTTTGAGCTTCAAAGTGCCACCTTTGTGAAGAAAAGAGTCTTCTTGATGTGCATTTTCGTGGCCCTTCGTTGCTGCACAGTGGAGTGGTGTAGGGAGCTCCTTTTCCCTGCCATTTTCTGTTTTGAGAAGCTTGGTATGCATACTCAACCTTTGATCAAGAGTTTTTGGTTAAAAATGGAACCTTGATGCATGTAATGAGCTTAAGATGATAACTTAACGTTGGGTAATGCTTAACACACTTAGAAATGCATGTTTAAGCTTCTGTAATCGATAAAAGTTGGACCTTTGGCTTGGATTTTCGCGAAATGCAGAATCTGGATTCTGTCGCGAAATATCCGGATATTTTGTTGTGAATATCCGGATATTGATATCCGGATATGGGGATCTGAATATCCGGATATAGATATCCGGATATTGGAAGAGAGATATCCGGATATTGATATCCGGATATGCCCCTGACGAATATCCGGATATTCTGGGATTTCGAAGAACAGTAGCTGCACTGTTCATACAGTAGGCTATTGGGGGTTTATGGACCCTAGATTGATGAAGTTGAAC